ACCACACCTGAAAAAAAGAATGAATGAAAATGTAGATGAAGAGTTAATTTCATCAAAATTCTTGCCTTGTAATACATCAAACTTAAGCCAATCGAGGGGAAAAAAAAGGTTATTGCCAATTTCAAAAAGCTTTATGCCAAATTTCTTTTCTAAACACATTTTTGAAGTTAACATATACAGAATTAACCATTAAGGAATTCTATAAGAACAATTTCAATATTCTTCATTGTTTGCATCTTATTGTTCAGGTGTTGAAAGATGTTTCTATGTGAACTCTAAAATAAGCCCAACTGTGAGAAACTGTGCCACACAATTGCTTTAAAAGTTTGATAATATTTATGTATAAAACAGACACATAGGTATTAGTTCAGAAACAACATTGAGCTGACCACTATAGAGCTACAGGACTTAAAAAGGGAGCAGGAAAGAGTAATACAAATAAGTGATGTAAAGAAAATCTTGTAAAACTGAGATGAATTAGAACTGGTTAACAAGTGGCATCCAAATCAAACTGTTGTTTTTACAACCACCAATATCTTCTGTCATGTGATTATTAATTATATTAAAAAAAGTGTTAAACAAATGGAAGACTCAGTCGTCATTGCATAAGTTTTAAAATCTTCTCCGAAGACTAAAAGAAGCAATTGATGACAAGAACACAAAAACATAAAACCATTCAAAAGAAAATTGACTTAGTTTTAAAAACCTTAATGACTCTTTTCATATAAAACCTTAAAACCACAGATTTTTATGAAAATCCATGCTACTTTTATTTTTGCCCCAAAATTTTAAATTTGAAAAGAGATTGATTTTAAAATGAGAACCAATTTTCGGATTTTAAAATGTGAAACGAGTTAAATTTGTTAAGTCAAGAAACCACAACAGATCTGTAATTTAATGGAATTTCAGAAAGGTTCTCCTGTGGAACTGATAGGCAAATAAGTTTGGATGTCCATGTATGTACACTTGTGGGGAAAATTAAAGGAATAGCTATTAAAATTGATGCAATATTTAAATAATTTTACAGCTAAAATATGGATCTTGCATTAAATCTCTATTTTGCCATGCCTGACATACCTTCAAAATACAGAACTGCAGTTTCTCAAAAAAAAAATAAATAAACACAGGAAATATATAGGAAAAATTTTGTCTTGCAATTTTTAAACACAGGGGGGGGGAAATAAGATGTATGGTCACTCCTGACCAAAATTGAAGCATTACAGGGATTTTCTATGCTGCACATTGGACAATCCAGGGGTCTGTGGTAAAAATGTTTATTCACAATGAACAGTGCCTTGAAGTTCTTGGGCATCCTTGTCTATCTCACACCATACACGTTCTATCAGATTTAAACTAGGAGAATATCTGGTCATTAGAACAGTGATAGGAGATGAGCCTTATCATCAGAAGGACATTATTACAACTGCACCTCCAAATTAACATGGGGATAACATCTCTGCATATTTCAGCGCTTATATTTGCACTCGTAAAAAATGTATAAATCAGTGCTGCCATTCAAAATGGCATACGTCTATACTGTGAATAATATCTTTGTCTTGAATCACTCCAAAATCTTGTCAGTAACCATAACTTTGCTCCAGGTCTGTAGTACTCCAAAAATCTCTGCATCATTATAACCAGCTGCATTTCTGAGCTGGACACAAATCAAAGGTTTCTCTGCATATGGCCTGTAATTCACAATATGAGGGGTGTTCAAATGAAAAGGTACAAAACATTGTAAAAAAACAGTTTGAAATTTGAATATACCACTTTGGGATAATGTAGTAGGAAACCTACAGATGTGAATGTAATCATTGGCATGGTTGTGCACATGCGTAGGTACCCACATATGACACAGGAGAGAAGCATGCAGTTGTGTATTGTCAAACTGACGCAGCAATGCATGTGGGAACATCATAGCATTCACATTGCAAACTCAATGATTGAGGGGTAGCGATGTGTTATCGGATTTTTTGACTGCAGAAAAGGTTAAACTGGCAGATATTCATTGCCGGATGGTGGCTGTGTACAGGTGAGACTGTGTGCCCAACAAGTCAGGTAGAAAGTAGAGTACCTATTTCTGTTAAGGCTGAAAATGTTTGAGTGCTGACTCAAGAGCAGGCCAGGCAAACACAGCCAAAATCATCGACAAGGTGAACAACCTGGTGAGAAGTGATTGGCATGTCACAATGCGAATGATGGCAGTGATGATGGGAAGCCAGTGTTGGTACAATTGTGCACAACAATTTGGGTTAATGGAAGTATGTGCACAGGAGGTTCTGAAGAAACTCACGAAACTGCATATGGGGTTAGCACTGCACATCTGTTGCAACATCATAACAACCCTGCTTTCCTGGAGGAGATCGTCACCTGTGATGAGAGCAGCAACATCACTTTGAGCTAGGAACAAATGAACAGCATGTAATGCAGTGGTTCTCAACCTTTTGATTAACGCATACCACCTAAACAAAAACTGAAAAACTTTAGTACCACCACTACATTTCACAATGATTATTTTTCAGTTTCCAAAGGAAAATATTAAAAAAACTATTTTGACATTTGTATTAAATATGCACACATAAAAATATTAGACTGAAAATTGGTTACCGTTTTAATTATCAAAATTTAAGTTATAATACTTTAAATCTAAAATTTGCTGTGAAATCTGGGTCTGTTTAAGGGAGATCAATTTGTTTATGTCTGGTCTTGTTTCACTTAATTTTAACCATAAATTAGGATCCACTTTTAATTTTGTTCTGTATTTTTCAAATATAACATGGAAGAAAATCCTTGTTCACACAAATAGGTTGTGAAAAAAGGCAATAAAAAGTGAATAGCTTTATTTGAAATGCCTTTAAATTCTTTTTCGCTTCAGCCAAAAGTTAACAAGTGTGATAATTTTGAAATCTTCAGTTAGAGTTTGATCACAGGAGATTTCTATCAATTGTTCTTTTTCTTTACAAGATAAAATTTCAGGTACATTTGAACAAAATGGATTTCTAATCCAGTTAGTTTTCTTTTTCATAATTCTCGGGAAAATACATATTGAAATTATTTATGAATGAAAAGCAATGATTTTTAATTTCAAATGCTAATTCTTTTATTTCCAAATTATGTTCGATTAGAAAACTTTCTAAAAGTGGTAAAAAGCTTAAAATATTATTATCTAATTCTTTGATTGTTAGCTCGAGCTTATTATTAGCTTAATTTCTATCAATTCTTCTTTTTCTTCACGAGATTTTTGAATTTAATAGTTAAGAATATATATATATATATATATATATATATATATTTTTTTTTTTTGCATACCACCTATTTTTTTTCTCTTGTGTACCACCAGTGATAGGCATACCACTGGTTGAGAATTGCTGATGTAATGGAAGCATGCATCATCACCTCCCCCTAAAAAATTCAAAGTTGCACCCTCTGCAGGTAATGTGATGCTCACCATGTTTTTCAACATATGAGGATTGATACTCAGGGAATTCCTAGAGCACGGAAAAACCATTAACAGTGTCAGCCTGTAGCCTATGCAAGTCCATCAAGAGGAAACAGCCTGGGCTGCTCATGGAGGGAGTGATTGTATTCCATGATCACATGCATACACACATCTCCAAGGTCACACAAAATATAATGGCCAAGTTCAAGATGGTAGCAGCTTGAGCATCGCCAGAACAACCTGGACATGTTTGCCCTGCGACTTCCACGTGTTTGGTCTGTTAAAAAACATCTCAAAGGGAAGCGCTTCAACTCGGACGATGAACTGAAGGACACACTGGGATCTGGCGGTTACTTGTGAATAAAGACTTCAAATATACCTATAATATTGTTTTGTACATTTTCATTTGAACATCCATCATATATCTGTAGAGTTAAGTTCCTGTAGTTGCAATATAAGTTGACATCAGTATTTAGAGCATGATGTCATACATGAGATTTCACATTACAAACGACAGCTAGGTTAATGACACTATTCAGAACAGCAAAGAATATTATTTAGAAAGTAGGTTCTTTTTTAGTAGAAATAGAATTAATGCTTTTTTGTTTACATTATTTTCTAGTGCGTAGAAAGAAAAATAAAGCACACAAAAGGTTCTCATGATTTTATTTCATAAGAGGTATTGTCTTGAAATTGAGTTACTGTAAACAGTAGCAAAGGGCCAAGCCATAATAAATAACAGCATAAGTTAAGTATGCCTTTACCTCAGCAGTGACTTGCGGTCTTATAGATAAGTATGAGAATTGCAATGCATTGTGGTCACTTTTCTTAAGACATATTACATTACCAGCTTATAAATTAAAATATAATCTAAAGCCTAGAATTATTACTAGATCAAATTTTTCAGACATTTATATATCCAGGTCATACAACCTAAACAATGATAAAAAATGCACTAATCCTGCAAACTTGAAGATGCACATTTATTTTACAAATGGGTCTAAGCAGTTAATTGCATAGATGTCTCAGACACAAAGTGAGGCACAAAGCTAAAAAGAACATAGTTATCAGAGAAACTATCTATATATAGGAAGGCTTAGTTTTAGAAACAAGTATAAATTATTTCATAATTTGCATGCAAGCCATATGAATTACTGAAGCATCATAATGCATATGTCTTCAAAAAAGTGAAGAAGAAAGAGAGAGAGCTATATACATACATAATACAATTAGTCTGACAAATACAAAGTACAAATATTTTATTTCAAAATATAATGATTTCAATAAATTAAATCCGAGTCATTTCAACACCTATAAATATTAAACAATAATAATGCAAATTAATTTTATTCTGATTCTTAAATTTAAATTTCTTTCAGTGAAACAGTAAATTTAATTAAATAATTCCCTTAAACAAAAAAAAAAAAAAAAAAAAAAAAAAAAAAAAAAAAAAAAAAAAAAAAAAAAAAAAAAGAAAAAAAAAAAAAAAAAAAAAAAAAAAAAAAAAAAAAAAAAAAAAAAAAAAAACAAAAAAAAAAAAAAAAAAAAAAAAAAAAAACAAAAAAAAAAAAAAAAAAAAAAAAAAAAAAAAAAAAGACTAGACAAAATTCTCAAGTTACAAATTTTAAAATTAGTAATTGGATAACAATATCATACTTATTGATAATCCATTAAAATATAGTAAATGCTGACATAAATTAAAACTTCTCTCTCAGTTTCATTACAGACCACTAGAGATCAATATGAGAATAAAGGCATGAATAAGAGAAGGACCACAAAACAAAAGTACTGCTGAGTTTTCTGGCATTGATGACAATAGCTCACTGCTAACAACAAAACAGCAACAAGCAATAGATGGTAAGGTAAAAAAATAAGGTTTGTTATAAGTAACAGTTTCTCACTAGACCATGCACAGTTGTATAAAATGTATTAGGAATGCACATGTATTGATATTACTCTAGCAGAATTTATCATTTTTAATAATATTACTCAATGCAATTCGAAACAAATGATTCAGAATTTCATTGCCATTATATTTCTTTTTCACATAATAAACTGTATGTTTTAAATATTGAACTTTTCCTAACTAGAAATAAAGCAAGTGTAGAATTTTGAATTTTACTGCTTGATTTTTTTTTATGTATTACACTTAAGATATTTTAATCTGAAGAATATAAAGAAGTAAACATTTAAATGCATGATGAAACTGAAATAGATCAACAGGCGAAAGAACAATGAAATCACATAAAAATATTATTTAAACAATAATAGATTTTTGATTCAGATACAATCAACAACATATAATTTATAAATGAGGATTGTCTAATAGTTTAAAATTCATGGCCATAATATCAACACATGTGTCTTCATAATATCACAAATACTATCTAAAAGCCAGCAGGGCTGTTGGGCAATCACTGTAACTAAGAGTCTCATTACATATATACTGGGACAGACTAGCAAAAATTCCAACCACACTTTCATATATCAGTTCATTGTTTTTCTTTGTTATAAGAACATTCCATTATTTTAGTCAATAGTTTTCCGTTCATACAGAAATTTAAAAAAAGTTTTGCATTATATGGCATGTAGCCTTTGAGGTCACCAGCAACTGGAGTTCTTTAAAAAAATTAACTAAATATTATCCATTCCACCAATGTCTTGGTATGAATTAGCGCACGTATATACACCCCTCTGTTTGATGAAACCCGAATGCAGTGAAGGGCACATTTGAAGTAGCCCTGCTCCCTGTTGCCATGGAGCTGCTTAGTCGGGAGATCCGAGTCGAAAAACAGGAGAACACGAGCGCTAGTATGGATTATAAGCACTAAAGACAGCAACTAATCTTCTTTGGGTATTATTCCATCTACGTGGTTGGCAACAGAATTGGGAGTAGAACCCACATTGTTCTCATGTGGTTGCCTAAAAATTGCTGCATAAGGAAAGAGTTCTTGACATTTGGCTAGGAAAGAGGCCATTTCTTTATCACAGGAGCCAAGATCACCATTTCTCATTGCTTCCAAAACTTCAACACAACTCTAAGAAAGGTAGAGAAAAGATAAAATTTTAAAAAACTGCATAAAATTCATTACACATAGTTCTTAAAAAATGTGTTTACTTTTTATTAAATAAAACTTGATACAAATTATTGGATTTTGCTGTCAAAAATTCTCGAAATAAGTGATAAAACCTTGATTTGAAAATAATTTCATGAAATTCTCATGACCACATAAATTTCCTTAAATTCTTTCAACTTCCACAGTCACAGTTTTTTTGACACCTCATGGGAAAGGGATGTATGATGTGAATGAAGAGGTTATGTTTGGTTTCGTTTATTTGATTCTGGCAAAGCCTCCAGGGCTATCTGCCTAAGGGGAATGATGCCTTCGTGGAGGACTTTCTAAGGGAAACAGGCTTGTCTATACGTTACACATGGAGGAAACTATGAAAATGCCCACACAGCCAGCCCATTCACGGGATTCAAATCTTGGACAGAACTATTAGTGTTCAGCGATTTTAGTGCTCGGTCGCTGATGGGCTATGAAGAGGTCAGAAATATCTATTCAATTTCAAAGCAATGGATAAAATACAAAATTAATTTCCTCCCCTTGAAGTGTAGTAATTTTCAATACAGTACCCCCACTCCAACCTCAATGCTTTCAGTTTTAATTTACTTGCTTATAATGTACTATTAACAAAATTGCTAAGCTCTTTATTGGAGTTTTGGGGGAAGTGAAGCTCCACCATTATTTTCTCATTTGGCATTGCTTGATTTTAGGCTCAACACAATAATCATGGCTTGTACAAATGGGAAAATTAATAAAGCTTACAATGGTGGTCCAGAAACTGCCAGATATGCTGATTTTTGTGATGATGACAAAAATGGACAAACAGGATGTTGATTAGTTTCAAAAATGCAAATGAGTTATGGCTATAAATGAAACATAAATGAATACAATATAATTTTGATAATCCCCAATCACTCAATTTGTGAATGCCTGAAATCTGCACTTATTTTTTGATATAAATAATACAAATTTTAATTTTCAGAAAATTGTGCATGGCAAATTTAAATGTAGCTTTTTTTTAACATAAATAAACTTTTAAATAAAAGTTTATAATGAATAAAATAAGCTTTTAAATAAAAGTTTATTTATATATATAATATTAATTACTAATTTTTTTCACTGTTGAAGTTATTTAAGATTTTCTGCAAACTTCTTTTTCTATAGTAATCATGGGTATTGAATCTGCAGATTTTTTGTTTTAGGTAAGTCATTAACGTAACATTCTGCTGCTTTTGTGATAAATGTGTAAGAATTAATTTATCAACAGCTTTCAGACATTGAGTTCAAATGAAATGTTTATTATTTCCTCTCTCCCCCACCCCCCCCCTATAATTTAACATTTTATCTTTAAATAATAATAATAATAATAATAATAATAATAAAATAATAAAAAATTCCAGGTCCAAACACTGTTCTCTTTATATAAATGCATTTAAAAATTGCGAAAGTTTTTATTTAATACATCCTGATTAAATCATTCCTAAAGTATGATTTGGTTATTTATTTATGTGCAAAAAATACACAGTTTATATAAAATAGAAAGAACAAAATGTACACAAAACTCAGAAAGATATGGCATATAATCTGCAAAACCTTCAAATGTGCACAACTCTTGGTCCTAAGATATGCATATTATTGGAACCTGTCCCTATCTTAAAGATGGGGGGGGGGACTCTCGAATCTCTTTAAGCACAATATATTAGTCTTTAGTAATAATCAGCATACTTATTATGCTAAAAGTACCACAGATGTGCTTGCCTTGCTTCTAATAATTTATCAATTTCCCTTTTTTAGCCTATTAGTAAAAAAATCAGCTAATGAAACGTTTTTGACAATTTTTTCTGGCCTCATTTTAGAGACCTCATTTTAAATGTGTAAAGAATTAATTTATCAACAGCTTTTCAGGCACTGAGTTTCAAATGAAATGTACCTGTAGTTGGTTTATTTATATCCTGCTCAATGCATTCAAAATTGTTTACATCAACAGAAACAGATTCTTAATAACAGCCCTTACAGAGATTGATCTGGTGTCAAAAATTAAAAAAATGGCAGCTATACCCTGGGGGAGGGAAGACTTATTAAATCTAAACTTTCAGTTCTAGCATTTCTCATTAGCTGATAGTGATGTTATTAATCCAACAGTACAGGCATTAAATGATTGAGGATTTTGCATCCAAACTTAATTTAAGGAGAACCATATTGCTGAAACACTGTAAACAATTTATTTATTTATTTATTTATTCTTTTGTTTAACAGCATAAAAGAAGTAATTATGTTGGTGGATATACAATCTTTTACATAGCAGATTGTTTCAAGTTACGGGATCGTTGATCACAAATTGAGTGATTGAAGACTAGATAAGCAAAAAGAAATGAACAATTTATTAGGAAAATAAACATAATAAAAAAAGTACACACAGTACAATAACAGCTAAAGTCAATTCAAGGAGAATGCAGATATTCAGCAATTTCTCCTTAACACATGAAATACAGTGAAAAGTTACTCAGATAATTTTCAACTTCCCTAGTTCTTCAAACCGTATTTATACCTTGCAAGATGGGCTCTAGACACTTCTGGAAGAATCAATCCTAGGGCCTCAAAAATATAGTTTCATGAATATTTCAAAAAGTAGCCAAGTTGGTGGGAAATCCCCAAATGCCACTGCTCAGTGGCAAAAATAACCACCAAGGCCACTCACACATGAAACTGCCTACATCTTAAGTTCCGAGTTATTTTTATAACTCCAAAGCTGTTGCAATCAAAAGATCTACAACTCTGTACAACAAATACACACTTAAAATACAAGACGTGTGGCCACAAATTAGACTAAATACAAAATAAACCATAAAATTATCTATAAACAATAAATAAATAAAACAATACAAAATACAAAGCAGTAAAGAAAAACAAAAATACAATCAAAAAGGATTAAAATATTTACAACATCATTTTGATGCATTTTTACAAAAAAGTTATTCCTCTCCCCCCCCAAACCCCATCTATAATTTAACATTTTATCTTTAAATAATAATAATAATAATAATAATAATAATAATATAATAATAATAAAAAAAAAATTTCCAGGTCCAAACACTGTTCTCTTTATATAAATGCATTTAAAAATTACGAAAGTTTTTATTTAATACATCCTGATTAAATCATTCCTAAAGTATGATTTGGTTATTTATTTATGTGCAAAAAATACACAGTTTATATAAAAAAATAGAAAGAACAAAATGTACACAAAACTCAGAAAGATATGGCATATAATCTGCAAAAACTTCAAATGTGCACAACTCTTGGTCCTAAGATATGCATATTATTGGGACCTGGCCCTGTCTTAAAGATGGGGGGGGGGGGGGGGGGGGACTCTCGAATCTCTTTAAGCACAATATATTAGTCTTTAGTAATAATCAGCATACTTATTATGCTAAAAGTACCACAGATGTGCTTGCCTTGCTTCTAATAATTTATCAATTTCCCTTTTTTAGCCTATTAGTAAAAAAATCAGCTAATGAAAAGTTTTTGACAATTTTTTCTGGCCTCATTTTAGAGACAATAGTAAGTACTTAAAGTATTTACTTTATATAAAACTACAGCTTTAAAACTAATTTGATCTAACTGTTTATTCTTTTGTATCTATCAGTGTTGGAAGTCTGCTATCAAAACAATTAAGATTAATAATGAAAATATTTGCATTATGTCAAGTTCACATATTATTAAAGAGAATTCTTATAATTGAAAATCTTTATCAGATTTTGTTAAACAATGCAAAGTTTTTGGAAAAGAACGTGAAAATCAACTAAATAAATAGTGCTGCTGAAGATAAGTTTAACTGGTTGATGATATGCTCCTCTTTTATTCAAAAGTTCTTAATTAATACCCAATTCTTCTAACTTCAATAATCAAATAACTAGACTGCCAACATTCACACTCTGGGTCTCAATCTTTTTTTGGGGGAAGGGGGGGCAAAAGAGGACTCATGATATAATTACCATTTTTGGCTTGCTATTTTACATTTCCTCATTTTACTTCAGTTTCTTTTATGACACACAGGGGGGGGATGCAACACTCCTGTTGAGAATCACTATTTGAAACTAATGTAGTATTTGAGTAAAATTATTATTTAACCCTCTGACTGCTCAATTTGTGTACCTAAATCGCTTCAAAAATTGTGTATTTTTATTTTGCATATTTTAAATTTATGTATATTGGAGAATTGAAAAATGCATTTTTTTTTTTAGAAAATATTTCTTATGTAGATTTTTATCATGAGAAACTAAGTGCCAAAAACCAATTTCAGATGTTATCCCCCCCAAATTTTTTTAAACAAATTTCAGTTGAATTACAGTTAATTTCTATTTATTGCATAAGATAAAAAAGTAAAATGTATAAAATTTAAGAAATTATAAAGCACTGAGGAAAAAATACCTGAGAAACGCAATTTATTATGATAGAGTTAAGTTTATTGAATCATGATCAGAGTCATTGTTATTTGAGGAGCAGTTCGAAAAATTTATATCACTATCAAAACTAAAATTGCTTTCAGAATCTGCTAAGTCATCAGGAATATACTCTGTCAATCGCTGAACATTTTCTAACAGCGTAATTTCTATAAGACAAAAGCGGCAAAAAGTGAAGTTTGAGCAGAAATACCACGTGCCTTCAAATGCCGCAATTTAGTGGACAACTAACGATATCTGTTGGCCAAAACATAAACTAAACGCCTAATACTGTATATAATTTATTTTAATCGGTTAAACGGGGAAAAAACGAGATGCACTCCTCAATAAAAGAAGAAAACCACATGTCAGCAGAAATCGCGGGATGAGCAAATTTTGCTACATTTGAGTCGCCTGTGAAAATCACAGGATGAGCAGCCAGGGGGTTAATCAAAAAACCTGCAAAATTTTTTTTCATCTTTTGATGAAGCACATGTTAAAAAAAAAAAAGAAACACAAAACTCCTTTGTCACGAAAATCATATTTTGCATTTTATGCAGCCAAAATTATTCAAAGAACATCTTTGGCTGACAAATAAGATTTTCTAGAAGTGTTTCACACTCATAAAAATCTTTCTAGTTCACGATCAAAATTCCAATACATCTTTACCCTCAGTTCTTCAGGAAATTATTTCATAGTTGTTTTCATTTTTTTATTAATAGATGGCCCTAGTAACTTAATTTCTTTCCTGTCTTTGTTATCACCTGAATACAGGCTTTTCTCATCATTTGCACTTTTGCAGCTGAAGAAGCAGGTTCTACATTTAAACCTTCAAAACTAGTCCTGCATATTTATGAATATTACACCAATTCTTGTTTCTTTAGAACGTCCATTAACAATGTTCATATTGCAAAAATAGCTCAACTATAACCAAATGTTATAGGCAGAAATTGTGCTGACAGGTTTGCCGATTTTTCATCAACTTGGTTTCTTTATGGAAGTTTTGGGAAAACACCTTTTTGAAGCTCTAGAAGCAATTTTTTCTGAATTTTCCACATAGTCAAATAACACCATATAAGTACAGTCTCAACAATAAATAATTCTCAAAAGTTCTGAAATTAACATCCTGAAAGTTACTCTTCAGGTCAACAAATGGAATCAACAACAACAATTTTCCATCTAACAGTTTTGACCTCTGCCAGCATTTTAAAATAATTCATACCTTCTTTTTCACAGCTTACATCCCAAATTCAGTTATGTAGGGGAATTTTTTTCCAAAATGAGAATTCGGTTCAGTTAGGTAATTTGAAATCAAGCATCATTCAGACTTCAATCTCAGCAAGCATATACTAAAACCAGTTCCAATTTCCGTAAGCGTACATACAGACTATGAGATTGACTAGATCTCATAGTCGGTGCCCTGGATAAGAGTGCAAGCTATGAGTTACTTTTTACCATTTTATGGAAATTTGATGTATTAATACCTTTTCTTCCTGTTTTACATTGGATTTATCTTCAGCAGCAAAAATGGTTAATAAATTGTTCATGGTGATTTTTCAAAAGCATATATTACTTCTGTCCTTTTTTGATACCCATCCTGCTATACACTTATTATCTTATTTTTTAAATGTCTTTAAATTTTATTTAAATATTTAACTTATTTTTTTTAATAGAAAAAGCATCAAAAACTCGAAATGTAATGATTAACCCTCATCTTCCCAGAATCATTATATAAACAAAGAGAAAACAATTATGCAGAAAAAAAAAGAGGGGGGACAAATTTTGATGTTTGTAATGCCTAGTTTATATCCAATAACAACAATGCATTTTAGTGAAAATAAAACTAAAAATGGAAGGGTAACAGTCTGGATTCACAATCAGAAATAGAGTTCATTTTTTTTAAAAATGCAATTACAGGGAGTTTCATTTTAAAGATTACTTTAGTTCAGGAGGAAAAATGATTAGAATAAAATGTAGAAATTGTGTAATTAAGATACTTTGGAAAGATGCTATAATAGGTAAAGTGATGTGCTATCCAAGTAAAAAAAAAAAAAAAAAAAAAAAACGTTTTGATTGTACAAACAGATGAAAAAGATTAACATGAAATAAAGTCTTCTAACTATATATCTAACAAAACTGTTCCCTGCTATACCTAACAAAACTGTTCCTTGCTACAAAGAATGTTTAATTTGTTGTTATCTCTAAAGGTATTAGATAGTCGTATCTAACAGGATTATACATTGGACACACATACATCTTTCAATGATGTCATATATTGTTTTATTAACAATAATTAAAAAACGGAGTTACCAATAAAAATTTTTTGAAACGATATGACCACAAACTGATTTTTGTAGAACAGCCACTTATTTCAAATTCACGCTATTTTCAAAGTTTAGAAATGATAATATGCTTGGATTAATTTATTTCAGTTTTTAAAGCCAGTGCTCTTAAATTTCAGACACAAAGATTAAGGTTGCAAAAGCTGCAGAAGTACAATAAACTGAACAATATATTATATGTATAACAGGATAACTAATACATGACATATACAATAGCATATACCAGTAAACAGCCTTACTTGTATAGTAACTCCTTTCATTTGATTGTTGAAATTTGTCACATAACTAATTGCTTTGTCTTGTGATGTTTTATCAAGGCAGTACTTCATTCGAGCACCTAAATAAAATTGAAGTACTTTTAGAATAATTATATGTAAGGTAATTTAATTTTTTTCGGTATAAACATAAGTTCACAAACAAAACCACAGATCAATTTTTTGTATCTTATTCCTTATCACATTTACATTTCATTAGCACATATTATAAATCTTGCATACAGGGAAAAAATGACTAGTTTTTTGAGAAAAGAAAACAATTCCAAATTCTGACAGAAATAAAGCATAAAAGAAACTAATATCAGTTAACAAGAACATAGTTATGAAATGAGAAGATATGAATAAATAATCTCATATAAAGTGCTCTTTAGAAATCATGCTGGATGCTTCTTCCTAGGAGAGTTATTTATTTGTGTATTGTTTGTTTACATTTTAAGTTTCTAAAACTGAACTTAAAAATTGCTTCAAAGTCATCTTAAAAATGAAACTTTCATTAATGATAACTGGAATGGGGAATCTCATTTTCTTACATTAGGATTCTAAGTTAGAAAAATTCAGTAGAAAAAGTATACTATTCCAGGACCAATAAAAGTTCCATGAAGATGCGAAAACAAAAATGCTTAATCAAGAATTCTGATTTCATCATTACTCAGTTTAATTATATTATATCTAGTTATTTTCATTTTAATGTTGTAGTACTGCCATTTTTATATTTTTTAAACCAGCATTTATTAAATCGGTTCCACTAATGGGCTTATTTCAGAATACAGTAAATGAGATTTAAAAATCAAAATTTTTCTTGCATGGCTTTTAACTATATGTACATGTTTATAAAAGAAAGAAAGAAAATAAATAAGATTTCTTTCAATGACAGTAATATGGTACAAATGGTAGAACATACATGTGATATTACATTAAAAACTGTTACGGGAATTATTCTACAGGAAGAAATTTTTAAATACTGTATCTGCTGTAACTGTAAAGATTTTTTCCAAATATTTCTGGTTTCTTTGAATTGTTCTATGAAGTTTATCAGTCAAAAATTGAGTTCTTTATACACATTCCCTCAAGTTCTCAAAATTAATAAACTTTTAAAAATTTTTAATCCTCTGATAGTAAATAAACAGTTCTGATAGATGGATTTTTCAAATTACCAATTTAAACATTTTTCAGTCTATGTGAAAATCATATGTTCATAACATGATTTTTATCTTACTTAACAGCCTTTTATGAGGTCTGCTTGCATAGACCTCATAAATAATAGATTTAAGTTTTATATGCCTATAGTTTACCTTACCTTGTAAGAGATGAGGCAATGAATTGGAAAAGTGGGCTAAGAATTCTTCATTGAGTTCATGAGCATTTTTTCCCCCATAAATTTTATCCATTTCTTGTTTAAGGACGGTTTTCATAGGGGCAGGCATTTCTTTTCTACTTGAAACTAAAAAAATAATACATATATTATTTACTATACTATACATCAAGAAATGTTCTCCATTTTATTAAAAAAAATAATGAAGGTAAATGAAAGCAACTAAAATCTGCAAATTTTTAATTCTTTACAGAGCAGAAAAGAGTTTCAAATGTATAACAATGAGGATGGACACTAGCATGAGTGATTTCATTGCAAAAGATAATTTTGTTGTGAAATCTAATTTATAAAAAATCATAAAAAATAAAAATTTTGAGACATTAAGTAAAAATTTCTTTTTCTTTCTTTTTTAAGAACTTAATTACTTCATTTGTTATTATTGTACGCAAAAAAATTTCCTAACCCTATTGCTAGGATTTAAAGATTTCAGAAAATTGATGCTGCTTGCAAGAAATGAAATAAGATTTAATTAATTTTATAGCATAATTACTAAATATCACACAGGTGATATAATACTCTGGCAGAAAAAAGAAGGAAGGGGAAAAAAAAAAAAAAAAAAAAAAAAAAAAAAAAAAGGAGCAACTGTAAAAACTCATGTAACTTAAATGATTTTGGAGCTGAGAACATGAAAATCTGTATTTTGTCCTGCCTCACATACATTTAAAAATCAGAATTGCATATTTCTGTCAACTATACATTTAAATAAGAACACAGGAAATATGACATAAACTTGAACAGGGAAGAGTTAATGTTATAACTTTTTACAGCCATATAAAAATAATTAAATAAGACTATCCAGAAGTTCCTTTGGTAACCAAATGCATTCACGACAAATAGAGCTTCGAAGCTCTTGAAGACTTTTAGCTGGGGCTTCAGTAAACCAGCTGATCTCCTAATGAGTCCTCAAGGCAAATGGCAAGGCTGTGGCAACTGGGGTGGGTGTTAGAATTTAGAACCATAGAGACAGTACTGGATAGCATAAACCCCTGTGCACCTTGTATGTTTGATCACAAAGAATATGTAGGCTCCTTTATTCAATGGATTCCTTTGTTCTCGAGATAATCAGTCACTAGTGAAGCATGATGGGGACAAGCATTATTGTACATTAGAAAGAAACGATTACTAAATGCACCACTAAACAACTTGACATAAGGTTTAAGAATCTGTACACTTCAGTATTCATAGTTGCACTGGTAAAAATAAATGTTAGTGTGGCTGATCAAAACACCTGACCATACTGTGAATCCACCATCTTTGCATTTTATGGATGATTTCTAGCTTAGTGCATATGTTTTACTGCTACCAGATAGCAACTCATCTGGAACCACTCTTCAAACCAAAACAGGATTCATCAATAAAAACAACAGTACTCCAACCTTTAAACCACTTTCAGATTCTTGACATGATGTTTTTGGCAATCTTTAGGTCTCTATAGACTTGTTTAATTATACATAGTGCTTCCAATCTTCCATTACATGTTTTTTTCAATGACATATTCCACTTTTCACATGCAACAATTTTAGCTACTTACAGTTGAAGCACTCTCTCTTGCACTCTTTTCCACAATGCTGAAAGAATGAATGCAAAATTTTCCATATTTCTGCGTATAAGCTGAATCCCATTGGACTATCCTGGGATAAAACAGACCACTTTTAACTGACTTCATTAACATAAAGCACCTTTTTACAGTTGTTCCCTTCCTTTTTCTTACCAGTGTATATCAGTTAACTGTTCATTGCAAATGTATAACAAAAATTGCAAATTGTTATTATAATTAATAATGAATAATAACAAAAGTGCACATACACTATTAATTTACATAAAACTGTAGCAAATAATACACATACTCAACAATTAACAACTCATAAGAAAACACACATTTTACTTTTTTTAATTGAATGAAACACAAACTTTAATTAAACACACATAACTATAAAATTAACAGAATGGCTGAGGAGCTTTGCTCCCGGCCCACCTAAAGTATCTATGCTATAATAACATATTCCCCATCTTTCCTTTACTTTCATGAAAAATATTTGAGAAATATAAATAACTTGGTCAGTGATACTTATAAATATCAATGAAACCATAATTCAAACGACAATTATTTTATTATCTTGTTGCCTCACTGATGCATGAGAGTTTTCTGCTGTACTTTTGAATACGACTCGAAGGAACATTAAAGATGCTTTATTGTTAGCAATGATCTACCATTCACATCAATACAAAATTCTAAATTTGAATTGAAAATTTTCTTTCTGTATTTCATTCATTTCACCTTCAATACAACTTTTATGAAAATAATACTAATTTACAGAAGAGGTTGGAAAACACTTTTGTGCAACTTTACACACATACAGTGGTCTCAGCATATACCATTTTTGCTTTTTAATGAATGATGAATATTTCAGTTATTAAGTCACATGTATATATGATCTTATGGAAAATCTGGTAATTGGAATAATCAAAGGTTGTTTAAAAATTCCCATAACTAAAATGCCAATGTTAAATAATTAAAATTCAGTTTATATGCACCATAAATTATCTGTTTGGGGCCAATAAATTTATTTCACATGCTAGGTAAGTGCACATCATAACCCATTCAGTTTTTCCAACTATTGCCACAGCAACTTGTAACTCACAAGAAATACAGCGTTCCCAAATCTCACAATTTAAATTTTTACTATGAACTTAATATAATCCAGAATGCTAAAAGCAACAGTTTTTTTTTGGCGGCGGCGGCGGGGGGGAGGGGGGATAAATTCCTTAAGATTTCCTAAGGGGAAAAAAAAAAAAAAAAAATTAACAGTCACGTTAGACATACCAATATTATAGAAACGAACTAGATTTGAATGCAACTTAGGATGTGTCGGGTCAATCAACCAAGCTCTTTTAATAGACTGAAGCATTAACAATAGCCTATCTTTCCTTATATATATCTCAAAGGCCAATAAATGGGTTTCTATCCTTTCAGATGCTAAAGACTGAAGAGGCCTGAGGAAACGAATGGCTTGGCCTAATGGATCTTCCCCCTAGGAAAAATACAAAGAATATTATTATGTAGTATAACAAAAGAAAACAATAAATACTGTATTTTAAAAAGTACGAGAGAAAAATATCCTACTTTGTAAAAAAATAATATATATATTAGATTGATCAGAAAGTAATGCAGTTAACATGTCCATCTGTTAATACACAATTTCAAAAGACATATTGCTGCAAAAGTTTATTAGTAGTATCCGTCATTTTATATGACTTCTGCCAGCCTTCAGGTAACTTTACAAACTCTGTTTTGAAGAATATTTTTAGTTTTGCCCAAAATATCTATTCACTGTATATTGTAACTTCTGTGTAATATTTTTAGATAGAAACTACATAAGCAATATTTGACTCAGATGAGTAAGAGCTTCTTACTATTCAGCTTTTGTCAAGTCATTCTCCATTAAGTTCTATCCTGCTGAAGAATCACATCAAGTCAGCTGTCACTATGGACACTTGGTGATTTTAGAACCCATTTCAAATTATCTAAGTTGACTGCTTTTATTAGCAGCTTGATTATTTTCTAACAATTTAAAATAAATTATACTTTATGTATGGTAACCACAAGCAGGGGCTGTCTTTAATTGCAATCCTGGCTCCCCCCCTTTGCAAAACTTCTTTTCTTTGTCATCCAAAATTCCATCCCCATTTCCATCTAGAGAAGATGCCATTCACTTCTTGTGAGCACAATGCAAATCAATAATCATTGCTGGTGGTTTTCAGTTATGAGTTTATGTAGAATTCAAATGCCTAAACAAGAAACTTACCTATTAATTTCAAGTGATATACTTCTTTACTAGTGAAATGTGGATATGACAAAATTAAAAATTAATCGTCTTTCATTATAGGCTACACTAAAAAATTCTTCCCATTAGTTTTACCAATATTTCCATAGAGGCAAAACTCATAAAACATGATATGTAGAATATGCAACTTGTTAAATGACATCATTTACTCACAAATAAAATTAATGAATAGTTAATGCAGTGCAGCTATGAAAGAAAGACCAGGGTTTTGAAATCATAACTTAAAAAGAAATTCCTCTGCAAGGTCATTGCGGTATACATTTAACGTACCTGAATTTTGACCAGCCCAGAATCAGGCATTACCTTCTGATCAACCTGATAATATAAAGGTTGAAATATAAAGGTAACACAATTAATATTCACTAACACTACTGCACATACTGTTTCATTTGCAAATAATATGCTTGAAAAGTAAAAATCCCTCACACTCAACAAAAATGTAGTTACATTTATACAGGGAATAAAAAAACTGCACAATTAAATACCTCTGGAATGGTTATCATAATTCTCTGGTCCCTAAAGGAGAGGAGGGAATTACCTCCATATGACAAAAATTATTTAAGATATACAGTCAAAAGTCGTTAATCCGGACTTGTTGGGACTTCGGCGATTCCGGATTATAGATCATCAGTTTAAATCTCGTAAGATGGCATGCAGAAATTCTAAAATTAAAAATATGAAACCGTAATTTATGAAATCAAGAACAATTATGATCTAAAGGGTATCAAAATTTACAGAAAAAAAAAAAAAAGCTTAATATTTATTTGTTTACTTTATTAAACATTTCTTTCAGTGTAAGTTGTTTAAGTTGCTTCGTTTTATGTGATAATACTTTCTCTTTCATTCTACAAACAGACATAATTTCTTGTTCAGTTACAAAGTTCCGCTGTTCAAGTCCCGTAATTGCTGTGCCGAGAATACCGACTAACTTGTCAATCGAAATTTTTTCATTTTCACTAACCTCTCTGTCACCTTCTTCATGTCTTTATCCATTTTTTTGCAGCAATTCCACTTTTTGTTTGATGGACATCGAAACATACTTTCGTTTTGTAGATCCTTTGGAAGCTCCAGCATCGGAAATTCTATTTGACATAATCGAAAGTTCAAGTTTACTTTTATAAAATTGCTCTTACAGTCTGCAAAAAATAATAAGCTGGATCCAATTCGAAGATTAAGGAACAACGCAATCATCAACATCAACTGAAATAGATAATTAGATAATTTTAGCTTATACCGTCCGTTATAGATTAAACGCGCACACGAAAACGTATTCTGCGCTTGCGCACACGTAAATGCGCAGTCGTAAAGGTCTGACGCGTACGCGTAAACGCCTACACGCATGTGTCAACGTGGCGCATGCTCAGAAAGTTTTTAGCTTTGAGGTCCGGATTATAGATCATTCCGGATTATGGGTGTCCGAATTAACGACTTTTGACTGTATAACTTTTGGAAACCATACATAAATAATGCTATAACTAGCCATAACCATTAAGTTTTCAAAACCATAGTTCTCAGAAACTTCCTTTTAAGACAGGAAGGAAAGTATCGATTCCAATGTTCAAAATACCTTTTGAAGAACGGCTAAAATTCAAAACTTTGTGACTAAAAAAATTCAATTTTCTACAACCCCTAAATAAATAAATACTGATATTATTAAGAAAAAGTGACTTATGTCCTTTATTTTTCCTTTAAAGATTTTAACATGCTGAGAAACAATTTAATTGGAATTTTCATTACTTGCTTAAATTTTGCATATTTTTAATAAAGAGTGTCATAAGACCAAAAAGTTGATTTTATTTTGATTCATTTAACAAACTGGTTCCAAGGATTTGTGACTAATCATTCAAGAAACATTAATTCATGCAGTCTTTTTAAACCACTTGTAAGAAAACAAATTACACAATTTTGAATGTTTCATAAAGATATTATATGATCGATTTATTTCAAAAGCAATTAAAGACAAAATTTTGACCTTGTTTGGTTACACAATAATCCTGCATAAATACAGTCATAATTTTGTTTAAAAATATAAGGCTTTCATTCCTGGACCTCATGAAATCTGGTTGTCTCAGAAAACATAGACTGAAGGTACAGTTATTACTGCCGTCATTTAAAAAAATTATTGTTTGATGATTTATTTCTTCATCCACCGATGGTCAGACAAAATATTTTAACCATTTACAGCATGTTTCTTAAGTCATGGAACAATTTTAAAGGTGGCAAAACATACCAAAACAAACATTTTTCACAATACAACACAAGGTCAGAATAAAGCCATGAGACATTAACATACAAAAAAGATGAAATTTTTTTTATTAAACTATACAATAAATATAAATGAACTACTAGCAATTACAATACAGCCTGACAGTAGTGATTATTTTAGATTCTCAAAGATACTAGACATTTTGTGGATGATGGCAGCTACAAAAGATATGGTGATGAGATCTCATTAGAAATTTCTCATATAGGCTCTTTAGATGATTTCATAAGAAAAATTCAACAAATTTAGCAATCATGACAACCAATAAGACAGATCCACCTTAATCAATTCATTAGCTCTAAAAAAAGAGCATTCAAGTAATTATATAAATAGATACTAAAACATGTATTTTGGTGTCTTAGTGTGCTAAAACAACATTCTGTATCTGATGGCTACTAGCATATCTTGCAAAATTGCCTGGAAAATTCCTTGCAGAAAATGCTTTAAGTCATCCTGTGAAAGAGTAGATAAGGACTCACTCAAAAATTCTACCACAATGCCAACACAGAATCATCCTGAACAGTCCATAGAATCGTTAAACATGAGCATTCTGCACAAATGCTCCTTCCCAAACAAAAACTGCTTCATCCATAAACAAACTGCATCTTACTTCCCAACGCAATTATGTCACAAAAGCCATCAGACAAATTCACTGGGGGGAAAAAAAAAAAAAAATCTTCAGCTTTTCTTTGCAAATGGGAGAATGCACTTACTCCCCCCCTCTATAAACAGTTTATACAGTGGTATGGTTTTCACCCATGGGGCTTCTTTTCAGATATTCTTAACACCATGTATAATATGTCTTCCAATTCAGAAGACATTATACTTCTTGTATGACTTCTGTTGAACATTCCTGCTACAAAGCTGCTTTATCCACTCAACAATGCAATCATCAAACTGCTCTTTCACTGCAACCAGCAGCAGCTCCAAATATAAGATGCATATTTGCCTTCTTAGCATTTGCAAATCAATCCATCACAGGAAAACCCACACAACAAATAACTGGTTTTTCTAAAAGCATTTGCTTATATAGAACACCAGAAAACAAACTGTAACATATCACCACCTCAGTTTGGTATGTGTATTGCATTATAAAAAATTTGATTTTTGCATGTTCTACAAATCAGCAAAGTTTGTCCTATTAATGCAAAAACATCCTCCACAGGAGGAAATCTTATCACAAAATACAGACATGTGGTACTATCAAAATTTTCTAGCCCGTATATCAGCTGGCAACTATGGTAAATTACACTAAGATGAAATTACTAAGATACAGAATGCAGAGGTTAGGAACATTTCATGAATTAACATGGAAATTGATCTATACATGAAATTCAAGTTAATCCATGTTAATACAGTGTTGCATATGCTGTTTTTCTTCTCTTCAACTAGAGAGAAAAGAATACCTTAAACGGATGTATAAAGTGTCCCATGAATTTGGATACATTTAAAAAAAAATCATATTAAATCTGGAAATGGAGCATCAGAGTGGGGATTGTGTCTACAGATTTACCACAGAATTTTTTAAAGCATAAGGTATATCTAAATTAGACAATTACCAACAAATGATGTGCCATTAATGTCATGAAAATGAGCAGATTTAAATCCTTTAGCGATGGACACCTACATTATTAAAAGCATTGTAATTTGCTCAAAAATTCAATTAATGAACATAGTATAATCTTAATTTTTCTCACTCTCTGGTATAAATCCTTGCATACAAATGGCTGATACATGACAAATTTTGCATCATTTCTGCTATTTCATGCTCTGTTAAACATTTTCGACGCTTCGACATTGCAACAGTAAAAACAGAAAGAATTCACGTCTAACGAGATCTAATTATTTTCTAAAAACTGAACTGCAAACCGAAATACCCAACGCTTTAGCACAAATAAAACTTCTCTATTTACAATAAACAACTACCACGTGCGAATAAAGTGCGATTTAAAGAGACGTCATAAATCATGCCATTCGGAAACATTTATTTCCCCTTTTGTTTATATAATCAAAACCACGTGAATGAGAGTCATGCTTCTCTCATTTCGAGTAGAAGGTCTAATGTACATGTATCTGAAACCATATGGACATACAGTGCCATCTTGTGGCAGAAATTATAGTTTTTAAAAAGTTCCAGGACACTGGCACAAATACGTGACAGTCGGTAGTGAATGGGAAAATGCTCTGGCACGCCTGCGTGTCAGCCGGGAAGTGAGTGTGTTCGTTGCTGGCACGTAGACATGACAGTCGGCGCGAAGGGGTTAAGGAAATTATTCACTGCAAAATACTAAACTGCTAATTCAGTCTATTTTTAGCGAGTACATAATTCCTTTCAGCAGCTGTGCAATTAAAAATGTAACTATCCAGATTCTTAAGTTCCAAAAACTGGTATTTGTCTACTTTGATAATGCTCTAGTGCATAAGAGAGTACATAAACAATTTGATATAAACAATGTACTCTCATTTCCCAAACTGCATACTACATTTGACTTCAGACTGGGTTTAGTACTGTGACGATACAGCTACTAGCATCCCCCCGCCTGGGTACAGGTGCTGAATTATAACTTCCTGTTTTGTTCGCGGACGGAATGGACCATACCTGCAAAAGCAGGACTGCAGAAAAAAAACCCCTGGGAGTTTCCGGACGCAAGGAACTAATTATGTTTCTCTTCGCAGATAACAAAACGAGTGACATCTTGTGTAAGAGTTCTTCATGTGATTTTGAGGTGACAGGACGCATAATTTAAGTTCTAAACCACGCCAGTGGTTTCTGTAGAACAATAGTTTTTTTTTATGCTGTAACTACAGTAAAAGGGACGTTTTTGCGTCCAATCTGCGTTAGCGGATATTGTATGATTTAGGGCTGCAATGATCAGTTTATTTTTATGTTTTAATCAAGAAATCTATTTTTAGTTTATCAAATAAATAATTTAAATAGACAACCTGTCTTTCTTTCACCCGACGCGGGTGTCCTGACGTTACAGTACCCATATTTCCCTATTATGAAAGAGACCTGAATTAAAATGCTATTTGGGCAGGTTTTCAAAAATGACTTGGAAGAACATTCTAGTGAAAGAACAACTGGGATATGTATAATGTGTTTGACAGAAAAATACTTTGAAGTGATAGGTTTGAAACCTAAATTATTTATTTAACATTCAGAGGAATGGACCAAAAAATCAAAGTGCACCTTACATGTCATACATCAATAAAATTAGTTTGATGCTTCAATAAAAGGCTGTGTGTTCATTTTGAAATACATTAGAAATTTTGCAAATTTTCAGAGCTATTAACAATATGTGGATGATATGAACAGAATATGGCAGTATCATTTGTCGAAATATTCAGAAGCTTAACTTTGTTACTATGATTATTCATTAAAATATAAATTCTCTTTTGAATAAGAAGTTCAACTTTAGGTACACTAACAATATAATATGCAGTAATCAGAGGTAATAAAAGCACTATGCAGTAGTCATTTCAATAAGATTGCAGTTACACAGTCAGAATCAAATGTATCATTTTATTGTTCTTTCAGATTCGATACCAACTATTGTCTTTATGATGCTTTCACTTCCAGACTAAAATAGTTTTAATTTTGGAAAAAAGCAAAAAATCTGTTAATTTTTTTTTTAAGCATCAATGTTTTTAATGTGTTCTGTGTGCATTCAGTTCTATAGAATTAATAAACACCATAACCTTTTGAAGCAGAGGAAAGCATTTTCTCATGAAACAGACATATGTTGAACATAAAAAAGATCCTGTAAAGTTAAAACAACTATAAAACACAATAAACATTAGTATCATTTGTAATTTTTTTAAAAAAGGGGACAAAACAAACCTTTGCTAATTTTTCTGGCACTAGTTCTTCTTCCTTAACCCCATCAGCTTCTCCATCCTGCTGCTGGCGAGACTTTATATGTTGCTCTCGCTTCTCTTGAGCTGCTGTCTGCTTTTCCTTTTCAAGCTCAGCACGCTTCCTTGCCTTACGTTGTTATTGCGTATTTCTTTAATCTGCAGGAGCCATATTAGCTGGAAAAGAAAATCTTCATAATCTGGATATCAATGTTAAGTAGTGTTCACACTCATACTCTTTCATTTACAGAAAAAGATAAATCTTTACTAAAATTTAATTTCTGAGTTAAAAACATAACCATTAAAAAAAAAAAAAATATATTTCTGCATTAATTTATTCTTTAAAACCGAACACGTCACTATGAAACCAAATCATTGCTGAATAATATGAACAGACACAGTGGACTGTAAAATTTCTGTTTTGAAAACACACTATAACTAGAAGATAACTTCCAAGTACAGTCAAAAGTCGTTAATTCGGACACCCATAATCCGGACCTCAAAGCTACAAACTTTCTGCGCATGCGTCGCATTCACGCATGCGCAGAGGCGTTTAAGAGTGCGCGTAAGACCTTTACGTCTGTGAATATGCTTGTGCGCATGCGCGTTTAATGTGTAACGGAGGTATAAGCTAAGCTAAAAATTCAGTTAATGTTGCAGATTGCGTTGTTCCTTAATCTTCGAATTGGATCCGGCTTATTATTTTTGCAGACTGTTAGAGCAATTTCATAAAAGTAAGCTGAACTTTCGATTATGTCAAATAGAATTCCGATATATATTTACTATATGTAATTTTGTATCTACAAGCGAAAGTATGTTTGAATCCGAAATCTGTGTATCAATTTCATGCGGTGGATTGGAAGTTGATCTGTCAGCACTATCTTATCTTCAGGGCAGATGTTTTTATTTTTGGCTTATAATTCCTTACTAAGTGTCGTCGATTTCATCTCGATGTACTCCGTCTTGTGATATTTTAATCAAGTTCCTCGTCATTATAATTCGCTTCCGATAGTGAAGAAAGTGACCCATATTTTTAATTTTAGAATTTCTGCATGCTATCTTACGAGATTTAAACTGATGATCTATAATCCGGAATCCCGACGAGTCCGGATTAACAACTTTTGACTGTATTTATATTCATTGACAGAATGCATCAATGAAAATTTGCACTGCACAAAAGAATTCTTTGAAGTAGCTAAACCCTCCAATTATAACTTATTCATTAAAAACAATTATTGGAAGAACAGAAAATTGTCTAAATAATTTAAAAGAGCTGTCATACAGTGTGAGAAATTTTTTATATATCATCTTATTTCCTTCATGTGACTTATATGAAAAATAAATTGAGATTTCCCACACGTAAATGCATTAAAAAATCTGTTTTTAGCTTTTTTTAACAAAAATGGAAACTATTAATAAAAAAATAATTGAAACAAATTAATATATCAAATTATTAAACAATATCAAAAATATTGTCTTGTAATTAAATTACAGATGTCAAAAATTATAGATTATAGATGTCATGACCAACAAATCCAGAGTTATTTCATTCTAAAAAAAATAAATGTACAAAAGAACCTTTATAAACACAGGCAACTGTTAACTGAGCTGGAAATCAATTTAAATAAATATTTTGGAAAATGTACCAATACAGAAAGTGCACAGTGAACACCAGCGATATTCATGAATTTTACCCATGACTGATCTTTTGCCGTTTCTTATCAGTAACACATCATTCAAAATCTTCTTATTGTGCATTATGGCAAAAATGTGGTTTACATGTGTTATAAACAAAAATGACAAGCTTCTTCCATAGCTGAAAAAAATAGCTTCTTCGATTTGAAAAAATGGATGCAAAAAAATTATTTTTGAACTTATATCTATATTACTATATCTACATTTTATTCATGTGTAGCACGTTTATATAATAATTTGAATATTTTGATTTTCTATAAAATTTAATTAGCCTCATTTGCATGCTTGCTGTAACCTTTTTTTCTACGGTTTTATAAATAAATTGGAAATTTTAAGTTCAAATAAATTTTCAGCCAAATTACATATTTTAAGCTGATGTAATCCAGTTGTAATAATTAATAAAGCAAATTCAAATATCATATTCTGTTTGGCAAATTAGAAATGAATTTGTAAATAAAGTTTTCAGAGATAAACTGCAAAACCTCCTGCATCAATTAACACAAATGAAGAAAATTCAGAATTAAAAACAAATTTCTCTATAGAAAACTAAAATTATTGTAAAAATTAAAAAAAAAAAAAAAAAAAAAAAAAAGGAGTTTTGTTTATTTTTAGGTTTGGCATGGTTTTTTAGCTCATGAAACATAAAGTTCATAAGAAAAATTCAAATAAAAACTTTTGTTTCAAAAGCGAGTTTAGCTTCTGTTACCAAAAGCTTCCAGATAAAAATAAGAGGAAGAGCTACTGGACAACAACAACAACAACAAAAAAAAAAAAAACACTAAACGAACAACAGCAAAAGCTACGACCTTTTAAAACACAGGGAGAAAAAGTACAAAAAACTGTTAGACAAATATAAATATTTAAGAAAAGCTTCATTTACAAAATCTTAAATTATAATGAACATTATCTTACACAACCAACATATCTGATGGGGGCGGGGATTAATGAAATATCATATCAGTAAATGAATACACCTTTTTCCTTAGATTTTTCTGAGAAAATTATTTACTTTGCATTCTATTGCAGACATAATAAAATATTTATTTAAAATTAAACTATTATTATTAAATTTATCTCCTTCAGCAACCTCATGGATGCATTCTAATTAATATCTTCCAGTTTCTTTTCTTGCCTTCTGATTCCCCCCCCCAATGTCTTCCTCTTTCATGGAAGAAATAAGCACCCCCTTTCACCACTACCAGAAGATCCTGCCCCATCCTTCCACAAACTTGAAAATTACATATATATATATTTCTTTATATTTAGATTATTTTCTAACATGTTTTAAAAATTAAACAACAAAAAGTAAATAAAATATTGGCAAATACCAAAACTTGAATAAAAGTAGTTTTTCATATTCATAAAAGTATAAATAAATGCTGTTTCATCTAATTAAAAAAATTAGTGATTTCTGAATTTTAAACGAGTGGTGACAAGTAAACCATTTGTTTTATTAAAAAAATAAGAAAACTGTTGTTTATACAGAAAAGAAGCTGGCTAGTATGTAGTTGATCTTATGGAATACCTCTATGCATTTTAATGGCTTCATGTTTGTTTTTCTTAACATGCAGGACCACTTTTCGAAAGGTTTAACCTTGATAATTTTTCATTAATTTAAAGAACTTTTGCACGAGCATTAGCAAATTTGCTAATTGTGAAATTCAATTTTTAATGCAGAAAAAGAAATATTATATAAAATACAGCTACTTCAATGAGTTTTAGATAAAAGTGACCTTATAAAATAACCTTTTAGATAGTGGCTGTTTTTTAATATATGAATGACTAATTGAAGTAATTACTGTTACATTTAGGTAAAAAATATGTACATAAGGTCCGAAACTAAAATTACTTTTTAAAAATTGGTTATTTTTAACTTGAAAATAACTGCTTTTTTTTTAAGTGGATATTTAATTTAGTAATGTGTAAATCCTACATATATTACAAATATTACTTTTTTAGTGCATTATTTACACCAATTAAGGGAGGTTTATTTAAGGGAAGTTCATACATCATGCAAAAACATTTATGGCATTCTACCCCATGAAAAATTTACTCTCCAAAATAGAATCATGTAATTATGACAGCGTTTGTTATATACAACGATTCTTTTCTGAGATATCCTACTCCTATCTTACAAATGATTCTTTTCTGCAATAGTCTGACAAAAATTAGTATTCTGCTTTTGAATAATTAGTTCAATGAGTGCTAGAAATTCGTTTACTGATGAGATTCAGCGAAAGTATTAAAATAATTTCGTTCGTTCAGCGCATTTCTTCAATAATATTGCATTACTTATTGCCATCATCCTCACGTATAATATGAACACTCTTCTGCTTCTCCAAAGCAAGCAAGAAGTAAAATAAGTTTTAATCGAGCAGAAATTAAATCCATTTTAATTAAGAAATGTAATCGTAAAAAAGTCAAAGTACCACACAAAAATATCACATCCCCCAAGTTTCCGATATGAAGCGCCATCTAGTGAGAGCATATGAAAACTTTTAAAGCGAAAGGTACCGCGCTGGTGTGAAGTGACGCACGCGGAAAGCGTTTTTATTACGCTTTCATGCTTGACGTCCCAACGGAGCAGTGTGAACGCAGTTTTAACGAAGCGAGCGCCTTAGAATTTATTTGCTACTCTTATTACCAACTTCAAGCCAACGTTCTTAAGCCACTGCACCTACCGGTCATGGTATTGCCTACAGCTTTCGTATGCATCTTTTATTCAGGGGATTAATTCTCAAATTAAGAATCGACATCTAAAAATTCTTTCCAGTGAGCTGCTTTCTCCGCTAAAACTAATAATGCAATCGATATGTGACAGCAAGTTGTTAACTTGGTCTTTCAACAACTAGTCAGGGGTGTGTGGAACTCCGGAAAGAGTACGCGCGCAGTCTTCAGTCTTGAAATGCTCAGTCTGCACATATCTTGAAAGCTTAAGCACTAATACAGGATTTTGGTTTAGATTTTCGAGAAGAATTATTGATACTTCCTTAAAATAGCAGCCCCTAAAATTTAATCGCTCATCAACTGAGATGTAACATGTGGCCAGATATCTCGGTTGATTGGCGATTCAATATTGGGGGCCGCTATAATAAGGAAGCACCGAATTATTTTCAATATATATTTCGCTCAAATGCTAATACAGTTATTATATTTATTTAAATTAAAAAAATAATCCAACGGTTACAATACAAAGTTAACAAAGCTATAAGAAAAAAAATCTTAATTTCGTGCATTTATTTGATATTGGCAAAATCTCCAGAAAATCAACCTAAAATTCGCAAAAATAATGAAGTAAATACAAAGCGCAACAAAACTATCGTTCTACTTATATGCTCAACTTGATAACAACTGACTGACAATTTTTTTATTTGTTTCCAGCATTAAATAACTGAAACAAAAATCTTCCATAGTAAATGTAAACACAATTTAAAATTAGGTAAAGGAAATAAGAAACGGATACAGAAATCAAGCAATTTATT